TTACCGTTATATACTCAAGATATACACTACCGGCCAAAAGTTCGTGAACGCTCCGAATTTTCGAACGCGTCAAATAATATGTCATAACAGCGAATTCTTTGAGATATTGAGAAAACCAGTCAGATATCTTTTAAAATACAGGAATAAAGCTTTCAATTGGTGGATTCAGTTTTATATCAGACATTATAGTCTCTCAGATGTCGTATTTTCAAAATGTTGAATTTTGCGACTTTTTTCTTCCAACTTTTATCTCTGACAGCAAGTGTAAAAAATTTTTCTCGCTATTACCATAATTTTTTATAAATACTACAGGTCAAGACCTGTAAATTCCAATTTGGGAAAAAAGTCGATGCGATTTTTTGTTCCAAAGTTATGATTTTTTGAAAATTTTCAGTTTTACTCGTTGAGTCAGAATTCTTTGAAAAAAGGCCAAAAGTTCGTGAACATGTAGTTTATTCAAGTTTCGCAAATCGCAATGATATGTTTCTTTTAAAGATGATGCAAAATATTAAAATTTACAAAAAAATAAACTTTTTAAATGTGAACTGCAATTCTTTAAAAAAAAAAGCTCCAAAATGTACCAAGCTGAAATTACGTAAATAACTCACAAGGGAACGGTCGGAACTGTCCCTCACCGATTTTGATGCGCTTTGGATATGTTGTAGAGCATCAAAAAATATTCGGCCTATATTTTTTTATAGCTGCGTATCTCGAGGTTTAAGGGGTGAAACACCCCCTTGAAGAAAATAGACTTTTTTGTTTTCAGCGAATATCGTGTTTTAACGTTTTTTTTGTATCTTTTATATTTTTCGAGATAATCAGCTGGAAAGTTTTCAAATGAACACCCTGTATAAATCTGACATTGTCATGTTGTGTTCTGTATCAGTTATCTTCGAACATTCATAGTGGCGTCACATACTTATTAATTGCGGAATAATATATATCAATTTTATAATTTTGACGTATCGTGTAGTGCCAACGATCAAAACTATCTCATTCTATTTATTTATCAATTTAATTCTCTATGTACGAGGGCAAGTCAATAAGTTTTAGAAAAACATAGTGAAACCCTTAAAAGCAGACGTATCTCATTATTTTTACGCGCGATTACGAACTCATTTTTACTCGAGTACGTGACATATGCTGATTCACAAATTGTCGTAAAACATTGTCTTATTCTTGTTCTGAAAAATGTTTTAAACAATTATGTCCAAAATACATTTTAAAAAAGGTATTTTTATAGGATTTGACTAAAAGTCGTGTTCAAGACATCATTTTTAACTTGAAGAATATGTTTGCGCTTTTGAAAAAGACTCAATCCACGAGTCGAAACGTTAAGCAGGTTTTTGAATATTGTTATTTTTTAATGTACATCTTCGAATTTTAAACAAGTATTTTTATATTGTTAATTTTTAATGTACAGCTTCGGAAGAAAAAAATTTTTTCTTTTGAAATTAATTTATTACATATATGCGTTTTTCTTTCTTTAATTGTTGTTTTAAATTATTTCTTTTGACTCTTACAACGTCCTTTTAACTTTTTTCGTTTATGTTTATAATAAGAGTCCCTTATCAATCTTATATTATTATTTAAAATTAATTAACTTTTTAACTTTTTAACTTAACTTTTAACTTTTTAATTTAGCACTACCCAACCCTGCTATTTAGTAATGATAATTGAAGACTAAAATATATGAAAATTTTATTAAAAATAAATATTTTTTGTTATAAATAAAAGAAAATCAATAAAAATTTGGCAACCTTATTTGGCAACCTTTAAAAATTAATATCTCGTTAACTATTGCAAAAATATTGTAAAATGATTCAAAACTTTTTCAAAACGACTCAATTATTGATCAGGAATACGTATAATAGCGCAACGTGATTAATAGGCATTTTTAAGATATACACTCTGATGCATATTTAAATTTACACGCGCACGCAAGCACGCACACATCAAATTTGTTTAACAAAGTAGTAATTGTTATTACTAACATATATATTTCTTCCATACTATCATATATTTAAAAACAGTTTGTAATATATAATTATATTAATCCATGTTATAGCAAAAGAATCACATCGTGAATCCAAACGTAAAAGGAGGCGAACGCGAAATCGAAGGATAGATCAGCATCTAGCGCTCGAAATCTGTAGAAGAGACCGAAAATGACAGGCAGCGATATAACGAGAATCATGGTTCCACGGAATACAAATGTCACACGTCAAAAAGTACACAAAGACGTCGAGAGAGTTCACGAACCAAACAACAGTAATAGCGGCAGTATCCTGGAAAACTTGAGAGACTGATCATATTCTTCTAGTCTTATCCCATTCTGCATGTACCAATATATAATCTTCTACTGCTTCTTTGGCGACTATTAAACATTTGTATCTATTTTGTTTTTTATTTTTCTATATTGGTAAGTTTTGTTGAATGATTTTGATGATTTTGTGAACTTTTTAATCATGAAATAAATATATCTATGTGATAGATGGTTTTGTACATTATAGGAAAAATCCGTTTTTATTGTTATTTTTTATGATTCGATTAATTTAAAATAACTTTTAATTTAACATAAACAATATCCGTTTAAGTTACAACTTGTACTGTCAAGTTAGATTTAAATTTCTTTTTGTATAAACTGATAATAAAAAGAGAATTACTATATTAAAAAATATTTTTTAAGAGGTACATTTATTTTAAGAAAAAAAATGTAAAACTCACTTTATTTTATGAAACAAATCTAAAACCTACTACTTAAATCTACAAATTGTTCTGATATGATAAGTATAAAATAATTGTAACACATGCTAAAAATTGTTTATGACAAATATCGAATATTCTTGCACTTTTTATGATTTGTATCCTGAGCACACATTAATACCGATATGATTTACAGTTAATAAAAAAACATGCATTGAAATTTGATATGTCACAAAGAACACTCCAACGAATATGATTTTAACATTCACGCGATTTCGGAAAAGGAGAGCGCACTGTTCGATTGCGTAACTCTCTAAATCCCGTTTTTCCTTCTCGGAGAAACAATTGCTTCTGTACGATAGCCAGTTAGCCAAATCCGAGGTTTTCTCTGTACGCGTTCGACCGTCGCGTCGCGTCGAATTTCAGACTCTCTTTCTCTTTCGCATCCGTTCTGCTCGGCTGTTTCTTTTCGACTCTCCTGTTCAATATACAATTATACAAACTCGGACTTCTCTCCTTCTTCTCGACGTGCTCCATCACCGCGGTGTTTAACGCATGCGCCGCCGCTTCCGGTCTCGCTTTTTATATGGCGGATCCAGAATGCTTTATTAGTTTATTTAATCTCTTTAATTTTATTACACTTTTGAAATTTTATTTCCATCTTGGGAATTAGAAATAAACTATTTTACACTACGACGAAAAATCTTTTTCACTGTTAAAATAGTTTATTTCCAAAGCGTTCAAATTCATCATAGCCGATTTTGCCACAGTTTAAATTCCATTTCCACGATGGGAAGTCAGAATAAACTATTTTACTATGGTGAAAAATCCTTTTTCAAACTTATAATAACCGACTTTGCCGATTTAAAATCTAATTCCACCGTGAGAACATGGAATAAACTATTTCACTACTTTATTTTTGCTTGCCAGGTAAAGAAAAATATTTTTTGCAAAAAAAGTAAAAATGACCTTTTACTTAAACGTTAAATAACTCGGTCAAAAAAAAATCGTACAGAGCTCAACAAAAAAACAAATTGAAGGTAAAGATTCATTTTTTCGAAAGCTGTAAACAGCATTTGTGCACAATTTTTACTTGGCTCCGTGGAACTTGGCAAATTTTGTAAAAAATTTTTAGATATGACATACTTTATTTATGAATGTGCAACTTCATCAAATATCAGTAAGACCGTCTTTTGAAGTACAGGTCTGAAAAGTAGAGATTTCTTTAAAATGCGTTTTTAAACATCTCGATACGATGAGTTTTGACGAAGTTATTCTATCTCGATACGATGAGTTTTGAGGAAGTTATATGTTTAACATATACTTATATATATATATATATATATATATATATAAATTATATGTTTCACATATACTTTTATATACAGATATATAAGTATATGTTAAATTAATAATTAAACAATATTATAAAAACTTATTATATCGATATAATGAATTTAAATATTATTTAAGTGTCAAAATTAAATATGATAAATTAATAATAAAACAATATTATATATATTTATTATGTCGATATAATAAATTTAAATATTATTTAATTGTCAAAATTAAATATATTATATATATATATAATATCATTTTTGAAGTCCTAGAAATAACTGAAACCTTTTCGGTAATATTTCAAAGAGATTGCAGATTCTTTCTGTAACGTTCAGCAACGTTTCAACAAAGTTCCATATGCAAGAATTGTAGACTTTTTACTATTCCAGAGCAGCCTCAGAAATGTTGCAGACATATTTTACAATTTTTATGAAATGTTAATAAAAATATAATATATTCAGTCTGCATTGCTTATACTTTGTGTGTGTGTGTGCGAGTGCGCGCAGTCAGCACACATCATCGCTTTCTTTTTTAAAACATTAAATATATATGTATTTCATTTTAAGTACATTTGGAGATTTCACGACGCACAATTTAGAAAAAGAATTTTTTTTATACTTTCTGTTATTTTCGAAATCTCTCAAAAATTTTACTTTTTTTTTTCATAACAAGATTGTCCAAGAAATGCTATAGAAGATTATTTCATTGAAAAAAGTCATTGTGCGCCGTAAAAAGTAGGTCCATTATTTACTTAAATTGGTTTAATATAATGTATTGAAATAAATAATATTCTGTAGCGTATTAAATAATTTATAATTAACTAAAATGGATACGTGTTGTGCAATATTTATATAATTATATATATTAAAATGAGATATTTATTTTATAATATATTTATTTATCTTTGAGAAATGTTTAATGTATAATTTATACATTACGTTTTAAGACGGGTATATAAATGTAAAAATATGCATGTCTCTCTCTCTCTATTTCATCCATCGAACTGCTCTTATATATGTCAATAACTGCTCTTATATGTCATAACAGCTCATATATGTCATTTTTTCAAGAAACATTTTAAATAATTTTCTGAAAAAGAGAAAATACTTGTAATTTTAGGCTCACATCTTGCAAAAATAGAAAATATTCAATAATTATTCGATTTGGAGAATATTTCAATAATTATTTAACAATTTTTTTCTATAAAAATTCAATGACTATTCTATTAAAAATATACGCGCTAATAGTGTAACATATATAAAGGTTTTACGATTCAATCAACATTGTATAATAAGAAAATGTCATTATTTATCGTAACAAAATATTATCGCGGAGGGAACACAATAATATATATAACTCACTCAATTTGTTTCAAAAATGTTCAAGTCCAATTCATTTAAATAATTGCATAAAACAGTCATGGTAGCAAGCTCCTCATGCATTCCTCGTAACTTTTCAATGATTCGATCGTATCTTGCCGCGTGATTCATCTTGATCGTCAATTGTCTGCAGCGAGGGTGTAAGGGTTTCGGCGCTAAGCCAGGTAACATTGTCACAGCCATAAAACAGGAATACGTATTACCAGCTTCAATGAGACCTTCTATGACACTAAATTTGGCTTGTTCCAAATCCGGATATCTGTATACTTTATCTAAGAAGTAATCGAGAATCTGAACCATAAATGAGACTAATAGCGGAGAGAAAATGTTGATTAATTCATGTAACTGCTGACCGAGTTTCAGGCCAAAAGAGTTCTTGGTTGATTTACATTCTTGAAACGTCTTTGCGTATGTCAACAACAAATAAGACTTTGCATCCTGGCTGGGTGATAAGACAGATGAAAATATCATTTGTATGTTATCGATAATTTCCGGGTTAGTAGTAAATTTATTAAAGTAAAACATTTTATCAAAGCAGTAAAAAATGAAATCATCTATGAATAAACGCACGGCTTGGTTGATTGGATAGAAATATAATTTTTTAGGATGGGGTACATCCCAATAATTTACCACTGCGTTACGAAAGACATCAGCAAATATTTTGATGCGTGCTGCATTTTTATCCTGACCTTCTGACAAAATATACGATATTATAAAACGTCTTGCTGCTCTGGATACATCACTATCCATATGGAATAAAAATCTTCGAAGTATATTTTCAATAAATTCTTCAGATAAAAGATTGAAAATAGATGCAGTAGTAAGTGTTGCTAAGAAATTGGCAATGTATTTGTTTTTTTTCTGGTCGTCCAGTTCCATTCCTTGAAAATCGTCTATCGTTTTGAGCCATAGATCGAGAAATCTTAAGACATATTTATTAGGGATCTTGGGAAATAGCTTTATCTGTGAAAGCAATGCTTCATCATTGAGACTCAACGTTGATACAGTTTGGTAATATAGGGACCATGTTTCAGGATTTGGCTCTGTAAGAAAATATTTCTGGAACGTCTTGAATAAAACTTGTCGTACTGAATGATGCTTCTCGATTATCCATGCTTTCTGGAGAAAATCTGTAAGCTCATGCTTAGTCGCTATCAAATACATCAGCCTAACTCCATGCTTACGTGTATTCACACACATACTCATCAATTTTTGTGCAATTGATAGAACTTTAGGCTTAGAAGTTCGCATACTTACATTTGTTAGTGTCATCAAAACTATTCTTAATAAATATTCTCCTTCACACAATCTAACTATGAGATCGAGAGGTATTGGTGGATTAGAAAGTCTCATGCTCAATGGTAAATATTTTATAAGTTTATAGTTATTTTTAGCATTTGGATGATTGATATTTATCCTTGTTTTGGTGGGTATTATGAAAGGATCGATCAGTTTTGTCAATTCATCACCATGACATAAAAGAGCCAAGACAACTAGGCATGATGGTATTTTATCTGTATTTTTATCGTAAATATAATTCATGCAACGTTCAAAAAATTTAATGGGCAAGTCTTTATACCATCGCGTGGCCTTGATAAAGCGTTGTACATGTTTTGAATTGTAGTTCTTCATGCAATTTGCTAAGTATTCTTCCCAATTATCCAGTACGTTTCGTGAATCTCGTTTCAATAGAGCGAGCGCCGCGCCTGACGTTACATTTGCGATATTTGAAGGAAACCAACTGCAATACAGTTCTGGCTCATTTTCCTGCAATATATTTTTCAAGATAGAATTTTTGCCAGAACGCAGAATTTCGTAAATAACATCCATTAACCAAGGATAATCTCTAATTGTCATTTTTTCTATTTTGGTGCACGATTTTTTATACCTGTTGTTAAAATCATATATTGCTTCAAATAATTTGCAGAAAAAATACTTTTTTTCATCAATCTCTATAAAAGATTTTTCTTCAGATTGGCAGAAAAGATGCTTTTTTTCATCAACCTCTTTAAAAAATATTTTTTTAAATTGCCGGAAATACTTTTTTTTATCAATCTCTTTAAAAGATTTTTTTTTAATTTGAATTGGGAAAAAATATTTTTTTTCATCAATCTCTTTAAAAGATTTTTTTTCAATTTGATTTGCGAAAGTTACAAGGCATTGTCTCTCATATTGTGGATATTCTTTAAGTATGTTAAAACTTTCGTAACATGTATTACTTTTTAAAAACATATCGATTAGCTCCTCAATTGACATATTGTGTATAAGTTTAAAATGTATTATAGCCACGAGTATTCTTTCCGGTATGAATTCATGTTTTACATAACACAATCGAACAATGTCTAATACAAGAGAAATCAGCTTTTCATTTAAATAAGGTAAATTGTATATTTCTAAAAGTTGATGGAATATTCGTTGGAACACCCGAGAGTTTTCGTTTTTATGTCTATTTAAAAAATATGTCAAGACGCTGAACAAGGCATTATCATCTTTATTAACATTACAAGCATAGATCATTTGCATAAGGAGATCAATTCTATCTTTTTCACCTGTAGTTTTATTTAATTTTTCTTTAATAATCGGAATAACTTCGTTAACAGGTAAATAACAAATCCAAGCTGTTTTGTAGAACGAAAATTCTTGATATTGTTCACATAGTATACCGAATTTCATACCTGTAAAACGATTCGCCTTTAAACAAGTACAATCTCTTTTGCGGTAAATATTATGGACTATATTTTTATCACTCTTCTCTAAGTTGTGCTCCTCGAGAATTTTAATTTTAGCCTGTTTGATTCGTTCCTCGACAGGTAATAACTGTAATAAGTCAAGCGTGACATTTTTTGTTTCATCAAGAAGATCAACATTATATTTATCCTTGTATGATTTACGAAGCAGATCATATTGTTTATCACGTGGATAATGTTCCAAGTAATAGAGCATATTACCTGTTCTGAAGTAAGACATTGTTGTAGGCAACAGATCAGGGAAAATTTTTTCCATTAAATCCTTATTAATTTTTTTGAGTGGTAAGATACGAATATATAACTGTGGCTTTAGTATCAGGTGTTGCTGAGCTTTCTTAAGAAATATTTTGGAGCACTTGTTGCTCAAAATAATTTTCGGTGAATGAATCTCAAACAGTTCTATAAAAGCCTCTAGTCGTTTCTTTATTAATTTAGGGAGGAGAGATGCGTATCGACCAATGCCGATCGCAAAGGGATTATGCTCAGTCGCATTTAGTCTATAGGGATGAGGTTTCAATAATTTGAGAAAACGCACTGCCAAATCCGGATTGATATAAAAGATCTTCTCAACAATTTTAACAGGCAACACTAATTCCTTCTGTACAATTATTTCATAAGCAAAAGTCTCATTGCAAGCTATGATCAACGGATAAGCGGTTCGAATGCCATAAATCGAAACCATTTCTGTAAATATTTCCTGCGCAAAAATTGGATCCTTGCCAGACAATTGATGTGCAAGTGTCAGCACAATACGTGTTCTTGTTTTTACAGAAACGTAAGGGAAAAGATGTTCGAAAAAATACCTGACGTTAACAATTTCTTTATGGCTACCATCAAAAAACCAAAAGGCTTTAAATGCACGGTTTATTATCGCTGAGTCTTCACACTTAAGAGCAAATGTTATATCTTCATGTTTTTTTTCTTTAATGGCAGTTTCTACATTTAAAATAGGCAGTAATTCTGGTGGAAATTGTTCAAGATCGCTACTGCTCTGGTACAAAGTCAATTTTCCGATCCAACATAATTTCTCACTGGCAGTATCGCCCGGTATTTTTTGAATTGCCCGTAAATAAGACATCTGTAAATCATGAGGTAATTTTATAATCATAATCCATAGTGAAGGTTAAAAACAGACGAACAAAACATAAAATAAAATATTCTATGTATACATACTTTGTAAATATTAAGTGTCAGTTGTGAAGGTGCAAGTATATGAGAGAACTTTGCTTTATTTTCATGTGTTATCTGGTGAAATTATCACCATCGATTGATTGAATTCAAACGTCTTGTTTATTTTGTTTAATCAGAAGATCAAGTTGATGCGGATTAATCTGTTGAACGTTCAGATATGAAATTTTTATATGGAAAAAGAAACGCAGTTACTGCTTAAATATGGAAAGTTTGTTTTCAAAATATACGATACAAAATACCAAAAAAAAGAACCGGTGTATGGCAAAAAACCGATATCTATTTTTCGCTAAATACACAAATGCAATTTCGTCTTTGGCGAGAGAAACGTACTGTGTAGTACTTACTCAATTCAATATTGTCCGTATATAACTAATTGTAAAGTCACTCCAGACTGACTTCTTCTTAAATTTATTGGCCTCGCAACCTGACAGGCTGATACTTTACCACTGAAGCAATTCTCAATTCTTGAAGTGAGTGGCTTCGAAACGTACAGCGTCGATTAGAGATCCTGTAATAAGAAAAGTCGTCAACATGACACCTGAAGCTGGTTCTACATTAGTTGCAAGCCGATCGCAAGTTCGTTGCGACAGCCAATCTCAAGTTTGCATTTTGTAATCAACGCTTCAGATTGGCTGTCGCAACAGACTTGCGATCGGCTTGCAACTAATATAGAACCGGCTTGACTCGAATCGCGTGCCGATTAGCTTGGTACGTTTTATATATATATGTAGTCTTTCAAAGGAAAGGTTAGCTGGTTAGCTGTCATCAGCTGTCATGATTTGAAAATAAAACGGCGAATTAATCGTAGTGTTAAATTTAATTTCTCTTCCCTTGGTAAATATTTCCATGTTATATTTAATCGCGTTTAAACCTTAAAATAGTGTCAATATTAATTTTTGCTATACATTTTGGCAGAACAATGTATTACGAAAATTAAAAAGGACCCGGGGGAAAAATGTTTTATATATAATTATACGTACATAAAATTACATGCAATATAATTTTATATAAACATAGACATATTTTATATATAATTATATATATATATATGTATAAATGTCCACATATATGACATTTTTTCCCGAAATATCTAAAAAAAGAATCTCTTCAAATATCATTTCAAAATATCTCTTCTTTGCAGAAATAATAATCAAATATGCTGTACTGTGCAGCTTATTGTTGTAACAAAAAGGGTTTTTGTTGCTCATGTTTCCTAAAAAGATCCCATATTAATTAAGAGAAAAGTGGCACATTGGCTGTTGGAAGGGAAGACGATTATTAGAAAGTAACGTCAAAAATCACCGATTATGCGAGGTAAAACATTTTTTCTTAGTATTAAATACTGATATTAATTATGTTGATTGGATTATCTCACTAAGAAAAAATGTTTTACCTCGCATAATCGGTAATTTGACGTTACTTATATTTCCAATTATCTTACTTTCCAACAGCAATGCGCCATTTTTCTTTTAATATGGGATATCTTTAGGAAATCTGAACAACAAAAACCCTTTTTCGTAACTGTTGTTACAACAATAAGCTGCACTGTACTGCATATTTGATTATTATTTCTGCAAAGAAGAGATATTTTTAAGAGATATTTGAAGAGATTCTTGAAGAGATTTTTTTTTATATTTTGGGAAATATGTATATATGTGGACGTTTATACATATATATATAAAATATGTTTATGTTTATATAAAATTATATTGCATGTAATTTTATATAATTTTACAATATACGTATAATTATATGATTAGATATATGAAACATTTTTCCCCTGGGTCCTTTTTAATTTTTGTAATACATTGTTCTACCAAAATATGTATAGCAAAAATTAATATTGACACTATTTTAATATAATATGAAAATACTTACCAAAGGAAGAGAAATTAAATTTAACACTACGATTAATTCGCCGTTTCATTTTCAAATCATGACGGCTGATGACAGCTAGAGTTCTAGATATCAGTTGCGGGATTCTCTAAACGTTTTATCGATGATTGTCTCTATCGTTAACTAGCGACAGCCAATGGCAGGAGAATCCTGAAAGAAAGCGTGGTTCTCATTGGCTGTCTCTAATTAACCATGACAACAATTATCGAAAAAACGTTTAGAGACTCTCGCTGCAGAGAAGCGCAACCGGCTTAAGTCAATATCGCAAAATTACTAAGAAAAGTAATAAAAATGGCGTCGTTTGCAAACGAAATATGAAATCCACCAATCGTCTATTAGTCAGCCTTTTTTAATACCACTAAATGAATGTCATGATTGGCTGACAGTCAGCTAATCAGGATGCGGAACATCGGTTGCGCTTCTCTGATATCTAGGACTCTATGTAGAACTAAAGATAATAAAGATTAATATAAGAGAGATTAAGGTACAATTTCATGCTGACGCTTGACGCTTATTTTTAGCGTCAAAACAGATCACGTGACCAAAATTGTTGCTTAATATTCGTCAATTTGTATCACGTGTTCTGTTTTGATGCTAAAAATAAGCGTCAAGCGTCAGCATGAAATTGTACCTTTAGACAATGCGTTAAGCCTTGTGTCCACGATGCTAGAACTCGGACCGAGTTCTCGGATGAAGGAAGAATTGACCAATCATATTGGTCACGTGACCAATGTGATTGGTCAATTCTTCTTTCATCCAAGAACTCGGTCCGAGTTCTAGCATCGTGGACACAATGCTTTAAGGCCTATCGCACATGAAATGCATAACTATGCATAAGCATATAACATAAGGCCACTGGACCATTGAGCATCTTATGTTAATCAATATGGCGTCTTTATGCTGGATGCTCATTGGTCCAACGGCCTTATGTTATTCTTTGCGCAGTTATGCATTTCATGTGCGATAGGCCTAACGATTTCTGATTGGCTCCCGTTGCTTGGAAAAAACCGTAAGTGTGAGAGAGAAAGATAACTGACCTAACCTGTCGAATAAAAACTGCGTGTCTGAATCTGAATAATCAACATTGGACGAAACTAGTTGAAAGCACATTAAGGGTGCAGTCACATGGAGTCAGAAATAACGGAACGGAACAGTAACGGAACATTGATAAAAAAAGAGATAGAACAATCCTATCTCTTTTCTATCAATGTTCCGTTCTCATTCCGTTCCGCTATTTCTTTCTCCATCGGGACGCACCCTAAGCTTACAACGAAAAAAAAAAAAAAAAGAAAATAGCCTCGGTTAATCGATTATGAGTCAATGTGCAAATTATAATATATGTGTATTTTATTTCAGACTATGTGATTTATATAATGTGCCATATTTCCAATGTAGCCACAAAAATAATTTTTTTCAAATAAAATAGGTGAATAACAAATATCTAATAGTTGCTGTGCTTTATATATTTATATATATATAACATAACATATGTATATATACATATAATAATAATATATAATTCCTTAATAATCTCAATTTATATTACCTAACCTTAAATGGAAAAACTGATATAGTTATTAAGCCTTTTTTAAATATTTTTTTTATATTTATTCACATTCCTAAATGAAAAACATCAAACTTTAAATAAAACTATATATATCGTATATAATTCTTGCATTTATTCAACAATCAAAATAAACCACCATCAAAAACGTCATATCCGATATCCGATTTTACCCCACGACGGCTTGTTGTCTAATCTCTGTTATAGTATCTCTAACATGATCGTTTTTTCTCTGTTTACTGATGCCTGATTGGTTGTTATAATTTTCTTTATGCATGCGTTTATGCAACTCTGCAAGTTTGTGTGGATATAGCTTAAGGGTGCCGTCCCATGGCGCGTATCGCCGCACGCGCGTATTCGCGTGTCGAAGATATTCGACCAATAGCTAACATTCCGCCGTTTAAGGGC